CAAGGAGCCAGGAGCTTCCCTCGGGTCGCCCATGTGGGTGCGGGGGCGCCAAGCACTTGAGCCATTTTCCACTGCTTGCCCAGGCCATAGCAGAGAGCTGGATCAGAAGTTGAATAGCCGGAACTCCAAGTGGCACCCATATGGGATGCCGGCACTGCAGGCAGCGGCTTTACCTACTACACCACAGTGCTGGCCCCTTCTTTATATGATTATTTTAAAGAGTGGTAGGGCTATGACTTATTTTAATTTTTCGTGTTCAGTATTTCCTCAAGAAAAAAATTTTGTAATCCTTTAAAGGTGAAAAACATGTAATGGGGGGAATGAAGATCTTCTAAGCATTACACCAAGGTGAAGAATATAGAGGGATGTTTTTAAAACTTCCATTGAACAAATTATTAGGTTGTAAAAATTACATGTGACTGGGGCTGGTACTGTGGCTTAGCAGGTTAAGCTGCTGCCTCCGATGCCAGCATCCCATTTGGGCACCAGCTCAAGTCCTGGCTGCTCCACTTCTGGTCCAGCTCCCCTCTAATGCACCTGGGAAAGCATCAAAGGATGATCCAAGTGCTTGGGACCCTGCACCCATGTGGGAGACCCAGAAGAAGCTCCTGGCTCCTGGCTTCGAATCGGCACAGCCCTGGCCATTTTGGCCATTTGGGGAGTGAACCAGCGGATGGGAGACCTTTCTCTTCTCTATCTCTCCTTCTGTCTGTGGCTTTGCCTCTCAAATAAATAAAATAAATCTTAAAAAATAAGTTATGTGCAACACAGAAGACTGTGGTAGTTATTGAACCTCCACAGTTCCCTCCGTCTGATTGTAGAGGGTGTGTCTTTCTGAGACTCTCTCGCAGCTGGGATTCTGAATGGCACTAGGTTCGGCCAATCAGATGCACTCCCACGATGTTTGGAGGGCAGATGTGAAGCAGGGCCCATTTTTCTGCTGCTGTTGCCATTGACACTGGAGCCTGAAGTGTTTACAGGCAGGTGCAGCCACACCAAGTTCCCTGTCCCTTCATCAGCTTTGCAGATGTCAAGAGACAGTTGTGGGCTGAAGGAAGGTGTACCCCAGACAGGTAAAACCACACAAACCAGAGCAAAACGGAAAGGAGTAGGAGGGACAACAGACACTGCTGAAAACACTGCAAACAACACAGTGGCCAGAAATGAGAAAAAGACTATGGGCCAGCGCCGCAGCTCACTTGGCTAATCCTCCGCCTGCGGCGTCGGTACCCCGGGTTCTAGTCCCAGTTGGGGTGCCGGTTCTGTCCCGGTTGCCCCTCTTCCAGGCCAGCTCTCTGCTGTGGCCCGGGAGGGCAGTGGAGGATGGCCCAGGTGCTTGGGCCCTGCACCCCTTGGGAGACCAGGAGAAGCACCTGGCTCCTGGCTTAGGATCAGTGCAGCGCCGGCCATAGCAGCCATTTGGGGGGTGAACTAACGGAAGGAAGACTTTTCTCTCTTTCTCTCTCACTGTCTAACTCTGCCTGTCAAAAAAAAAAGATGTAAGTGATAACAGGACAAGCATGTACGTAACTGGCATTCCTAAAGAAAACTGAAACCGGTAAATAAAGAGGAAGCTTTGGAAAGCTGATCTGAAAGATGTCATAGAGTTCGATTCTTTGGTTCATGACTCAGTCGAATGCCTAACAGAATCGGCGCTCCATACACACGGAGCGTAGTAAGTGCTTGAATGTTTCGTTAGTGCGAAGTTGTGCAATGGAGTGAGGCTGCCCCAGCACACCGACGCCTGGCAGTCAAGCTCCTCCCCCCCACGAGCAGGACAGGCTGGGGGGCATGATGGGTGCACTCTTGCTCCTAGGGACCTGTCTGCCGCATCTGTGATTTCTTCGCACCTCCTTCCAGGGCTTTCATTCTCATTCTGGACTCAGTCTTGCCCTCACTGTGTGCTGCCTGGGGAATGCAGGCATTTTCTGCATCAGTGCTTTTTGGCCTATTTTTAGTATCTGACTGCTGCTCAACACCCTCACGCCTTGCAATAACACCGCCAGACAGACATAGAGTCGGCCTGCGGGCTCCAGGGGTTCCACCACCGTGGATTCAATCACCCAGATAGAAAATATTTAAAAGAAATACTGTCTGGGTACTGGACATGGCACAGATGTTTTTCCTTGTTATTATTATTCCCCGGACAATACAGCGTGACAAACATTCACACAGCATTTGCATTGTATTAGGATTTATAACTAATCTAGAGATGACTTAAGTACACAAGAGGATGTGCTTAGGTTATTCGCAAGTCCACACACCATCTGCAGATTCGGGTTTCCATGGAGACCAGCAACCAGTCCCCCTTGGATACTGAAGGACAAGGGATGGCCGGTTAGCACACTTGAGAACGCTCTGGGCTGCTTGAAACTAATGGGGAGGAGGAGGGCAGCTGGGGTGGCGGGAGGATAAGTGGGAGAAGAGTGGAGACTTCCCCGTTGGAAACCCAGCAGCGGCTCCTGCGGCTGGTGCAGAGGCTCGGATGCCCCTTGGACACTTTACGTCGTCACTCTGCTCTCCACTAAGATGACGTCCTGCCCACGTGTTATGGACACAGAGCATTACTGGCTCTCACTATACTCCTCTGTCAGACCTAATGCAAGAAATGCCCGTTTTTACCCTTTTACTCACTAAGTAGCAAGTACAAAGCTTTACAGCCAACTGAAATTTTAGAACAGTAGCTATAATCTATTTTATTTAGCCTCTATTCTAAAGACTCAAGTGGGATACTTAAGGACACCAAGAACAAATATATTCTTTTAAATGAATAATTTGCTGATTTTTTCTTTTTAGATTTAAGAGTCCATTCCATTGGTCAGTCCTTCTGATTTTTATGCCCATTAAAGATACGAGATGTCTATGAGGGAACTTAAAAAAATTTCATGGAAAGTGGAATTAACAGGTAAGTTTGTTTTATCATGCATACAATGGTCTTGAAAAAGTTCATGAATATGTGCATTATGAAAAAACTGCACAGATTTCAAATATTTTGTACTCAATATTTTTGCACAATTTTTTAACTTAATATTTTATTTGTTTTTAAAGGTCTATTTATTTTTTATTTGAAAATCAGAGTTACAGCAAGAGAGGGAGAGAGGAGACAGATCTTCCATCTACTGGTTCACTCCCCCAGTGCCCACAACCACCAGGGATAGGCCGGGCCAAAGCCAGCAGCCCAGAGCTTTATCCAGGTCTCCCAAGTGGGTGTAGGGGCCCAAGCACTTGGGCCATCCTCTGCTGCTTTCCTAGGCACATTAGCAGGGAGCTGGATCAGAAGTGGAGCAACGGGGATGGTCAGCGCCGCGGCTCACTAGGCTAATCCTCCGCCTGCAGCGCCAGCACACCGGATTCTAGTCCCGGTCTGGGTGCCGGATTCTGTCCCAGTTGTTCCTCTTCCAGTCCAGCTCTCTGCTGTGGCCCGGGAGTGCAGTGGAGGATGGCCCAAGTGCTTGGGCCCTGCACCCCATGGGAGACTAGGAGAAGCACCTGGCTCCTGGCTTCGGATCAGCGCGGTGCGCCGGCCGCAGTGGCCATTGGAGGGTGAACCAAGGGCAAAGGAAGACCTTTCTCTCTGTCTCTCTCTCTCACTGTCCACTCTGCCTGTCAAAAAAATAAAAAAATAAAAAAGAAGTGGAGCAATGGGGTCTTGAACTGGTGCCCATATGGGATGATGGCACTGCAGACCGTGGCTTAACCCACTGTGCCACAGCGCCGGCCCCTAAAATAATCTTTTTTTTTTTTTTTTTTTTTGACAGGCAGAGTTAGACAGTGTGTGTGTGTGTGAGAGAGAGAGAGACAGAGACAGAGAGAAAGGTCTTTCCATTGGTTCAGCCCCCAAATGGCCGCTACAGCCAGCGCACTGCACCAATCCGAAGCCAGGAGCCAAGTGCTTCTCCTGGTCTCCCATGCGGGTGCAGGGCCCAAGGACTTGGGCCATCCTCCACTGCACTCCCAGGCCACAGCAGAGTGCTGGACTGGAAGAGCAGCAACCGGGACAGAACTGGCGCCCCAACTGGGACTAGAACCCGGGGTACCAGTGCCACAGGCGGAGGATTAGCCAAGTGAGCCGCGGTGCCGGCCCTAAAATAATCTTTTGATATCATTTTCTACAACCCTTTTGAAGTCCTCTCACATTTTATAATCTGTAATTTATGCCATAACATTAGAGACATCTGAATCCATACTAGCTTCCTGCCAGATTTGTATTGAGAGAAACAAGTGGGTGGTCAGCATTCCAAGGGGGTGGTAAGAATGGCAGCCCTGGGCACGAGCAGAGATGGCCACAAAATCCTAACTCCTAAAGGAGTCTTCTTTGAGAAATCTATACAGCATTTGGGGGTCACAGCCTATCACATCCACGCTCACGACTGGACTGACAGAAAATACACCATCAAAGGGACCACACAATTCCTGAACCAATGTTTCCAACTAGGGATGGTTCACAAAGACACTGCCGAACTCCTTAACAATTCTCATCATACAATCGGGGACCAGAATGCAAGAATGTAGGGAAATGGGCTTTCCCCAGTCCAGGAAAGCGGAGGCTAATCCTACTCCTCCCCCCCTGCCCCCGAGCGAGTGTGGGTCCAGGACCTCTCGAGTGCTCACATCTGTGAGCATTTCCTAAACGGGAGCATCTGACACACAGGTTAGGGCCCTCCTGAGAGTGACACTGGTCCACCTGAAAGGCCAGTGCAGCAGCACAAGGCATCGCGCAGACGCTGGCCCCAGCAGCACCGCTGGCAGGGCCTCGGGAGCAGCTGGGACTTGAACCGGTGCCGTATGGGATGCTGGCACCACAGGAGAGGCTTTACAGATATGCCACAGTGCCGGCCCCCAACTCCATTTTTGAAGTAGGACAATTTTATTCATATCACATTTAAGTAAAAACTATTTTATAATAAACATCTGATCTTCTCCAAATACAGCGCACACCTGCGTGTGTGTTCCTCATGTTTATAAAAAGTTGACGGCATTAAGTAAAGACAACATGCAAATAAGTTTTCTCTTTTATTAAAACTGTGTTTTTCTAAGGAATATATTACACTTGAAGTTCAATATCATAAATAAAGATTAATTCTTAAATCTTCTACTTTACTTATTAAAAATGTAAACATAAAAGAAAACAATTCACCACTCCTTCCCCAACCCTGACACAAAGTACAAAACAAAAACAAAAACAATCTTCCTTTCAAGCCAGTTTTTTTTTTAGAACGACAGCAGACTTTTAAAAACACGTTAGTCCTCCTGGGCTGCAGGTCAAGGCAGGAATGGCTGTGCCCACTGTGATACGGTGACCAAACCCCTCCCCACCTGCTGGGACCACTGAACGGCCCTCAGAGACGGGCTCTCTGTCCATGCAGGGCCCCAGGACATGGACGCTGGCAGGCACAGTGCACAAGACACTGCAGCGGACACAACACGCATGCCGGCACACTCCGGGAGGCGGCTCAGAGCCAGCAGTGAGGGGCAGGCCGGCACGAGGACTCGCCACAGGATGCCGAGCGGGAAGGATTCTGAGAGGCCAGCCTGTCATTTCACAGAGGGCCCTGATCGCCAGGTCTTCCATCGCTGAGGGGAGGACTGCTAACATTTCTCGGAATGCTCTGGTGTCCTTATGTATGTATCTTCCTATAACTATTTATATCTCATAAAATTGGGTTCAACTTCAAATATCAATAAATTCTAAGCCAATCTAAGCTGAAGACTAATTTTAGGCATAATTTATAACATTGCTAGAATGTCTATTTGATCTTAACAAAAACAAGTGTCCTACAGGGAAATGTCAAGGGTACTGATTTGAGGTTATTTCTTAAACACAGGATGTTTCCAGGAGATTAGCAGTGGGATCTCCATTAAGATGACCCAACTGCTAGCCAGTTTCGTTAAAGCTGTCAGCACAAGGCTACTGACATGGCTTTTACTTCCTTCTCTAAGTTCTGTTCTTGAAAACCTGAGAAAACCTCATTTGATATTTTTGACAATTGGGACCTTGAAAGGATCAAAATGAACCTAATTCTGAACGGAAAACTGAGGTAGTCAGTTTTCATATGCACTTGACCCTTGCTAAGTCACGACGGGACTCCAGCCTCTGGTCCCAAGGCAGCGGCGCCTGTTGTCCGTCCCTGCCCCGTCTCTGCTGCAGCCTGCTCACTCTCGCTTACACAGGGAACTGCATTTGTCTTTGCAAACATGAAGAGGCCTAACCTGTCACGGGATACCAACGTTTCAGTCGTTGAAAATTCTGCAGTTTGCAGCTGTCCTATCATTCCGCCCTGTGATCTCAGATTTTAAAAGTCTTTGCTCCACTGTCATATTTCATGTGATTACAAACGTGCCTCTTAAAATCCAGTGTCCTTCTCAGTCGTCCTGAGCACACCATGCAGAGTCAGCGCGAGCTCGCTGTGGGTAGGTGGGGGGTCCCTCAGGAACTCAGGGTTTCCTGACATCACACTTCATCAAGTTTCACGTTTGTGCAGACAAAATACTGGGCTACCGGGTTCCAAGCTTAATAAATACATATACAAAAAAGGTCATCTAGAATATTTTCTCCAGAAAGTCATTAGTGCAAATATATCAATAAAAATAAAGCAAAAATATATTTCAAGTATAAAAAGCACCATGCTCAGAAACAATATTATCTAAATGGCATTACTGCACAACAGTCAAAATATAGTTGAACCTATCGCTGTGAATCTCAAATATATTATTAATCCATTGTATTTTTGGTGAAACTCTTTGTATAACTTTGTAGGATGGTTCACAACCATAGTAAGTACGTAAGTCTAGATGGTTATAAGTTCCTTTAAGAATACACCCTCACTTGTCTCTGACCTTGCACAATTTCAAGGATGCGCGACATAAGCAGAACTGAGCACTACCAGCCTGCAGACCGCTCCGATCAGCTTCTCTTGAGCTAAAGCTGTGTCTGAGACGCCCGGCCTTGCATGATGGGATCCCTGCCATTTACAGCTGCGTGCAAGTACGTGTGTTAAATTTCCGCATTTTTTAAAGTGACTTTCCTTTATGTTGGGCTGCTGTTTGGCTCCAGTGCCAAAGGGTCCGGCGGAATTACTCCTTCGTGATTGTGCTGCTTTGTTCAGTTACCACCATTCTTAAGTGCAGCATTCAGTCGCTACATGCAGAATGGAAGAAAAGGATGTGGCGAGGTGGGGAGCGGGAAGCTTGTCTAGGGACTGTTTTTTGACTGCCACAGGACTTCATTAGCTTAACAGAGAAAACTTGGGCTTCACTATCATTAAAAGAGTTCAAAGGGTAGGTGTTTGGCCTGGCAGTTAGGGCACTGGTTGGGATGCCTGCATCATGGGATGATAGCTTCATCTGTCTTTCCGTCTCTCAAAGTTTAAAAAAGAACTTCAAACTGGCCTTACTAGATAGAGCTGGTAAGCTCTGACAACAGAGTAGACCTGATTCAGAGAACCCGTGTGGCAGCGAGGAGTGTCAAACACAGGAGGTAAAGGACATTTAAAGCAAAGACGACTTTCCAACTTCTGTGGGCCTGCGATGCTTGCATGCTGTGTGAAGTGGGCCCTAAGGAGAAGCCTACCCCAAAACTGTATCTGCTAATAGTTACCTCAGACCATGCTGTTTTGACTTATATCTATCTTCTTTTACATAAAATAACTTTGAGATATTAAAAATTCTTTCATAACACTTTCTTAGCTCACTTGAAACTAACCGCATACCTGTCTATACCAGAATTTTCTCTGTATCATCATTGGTCAAACAAGAATAGTTCTGTTTTTGTGGGATTACAGCTGTCCTAACTATTATATAAAACACATACAGTTCTGTTTTCTCCTGTTTGCATGTCTTTAACATTTATACTCGCTCTGCTTCCATTGTTTTTCAAGTCATGAGGAAACGCATGGAGAATCAACGGAAGCTGAGCATTGCAGGTCGCCGAGCACAGGGCCAACAGCAGCACTGACAGGAGTTCAGCAGCGGACCTGCCGTTCCGCAAGAAAGGCAAGCACGGTAAATCATGAGATTTAGCAAACCATCACTTACAACGCTTCAAACACTGTAAAAGGCCAATGACTTACGTGTACCGTGTACAGCCATTACATTTAAACTTGGTGTATACAGTGACGTGGAAATCCCAATCCAATTCATTTCCATAAATCGAAGGGCAATGTATACTTTGGAGGACGGGATCCCTAACTTAGAGTCTCATACAAATCAGCTGCTGTTTCAGCTGCTGCAGTGTTGGTGAGGGACTTTCCCATTGTTCTATTTAAATGGAAACGCTGAGGTATGTGATCACTCTGAAAATCCCACCAACATCCCACTTTCCAAGGGGAATTTCAGGAAGATGAAGTATCCTGAAAAATCCAGACCTGGTGGCTCGGAACCTTCTCCTTCCCTGAGCTCCAGGGCGCCGGGCTGCTGCAGAGAAGTGGCTGCCATGGAGCTCTGCCTCCAGCTCCCACGGGGTCAACACCTCCAAGTCGAGGTCAGCAACGCCACTTCTGCCTCTGCAGGCTGGCACGTCGCAGATCTTGTGCTTTGTTCCACAGGAACAGGACATAGAGAACCACCTTGAGAGTTCACTCTCCGCTCCTAGTGCCACACACAGAGCAGAAATCCAGCTAGCAGAGGAAACAGATTGCCGAGCAGAAGCCAGAGGGTGACCACCAGGCTGGAGGAACGCGAACAGAGATCTAGAAGTGAAGACAAAAAACTAACTTTCCATAGACATTCTTTTTAATAAATCATACCAACTAAGTGTTGGCAAATGACTACAGATGATTATTAAAAAGTAAACAAGAGTAGCGAATCAAATGTCACTTACTGAAATGCAAACATGCAAAACTCTATAGAGCAGGAACAAAACGTATATGGAGGAAGAAAAAGTGTATCTATTGTGTCAAGGTTAAGAGACGTGTCTCGGGATAGTCTCCTGCAAAGCTATAGATGATACACAGGAAAATAAAAGAATATCTTGGGGGGACCAGTGCTGTGGCGTAGCAGGTCAAGCCACCACCTGCAGTGCCAGCATCCCATAATGGGCACTACTCCACTTCTGATCTAGCTCTTTGCTATGGCCTGGGAACGCAGTAGAGGATGGGCTAAGTCTTTGGTTCCCTGCACCCATGTGGAAGACCCAGAAGAAGCTCCTGGCTCCTGGCTCCAGATCGGCTCAGCTCTGGCTGTTGTAGACATCTAGGGAGTGAACCAGCAGATGGAAGACCTCTCTCTCACTGCCTCTGCCTCTCTGTAACTCAGCCTTTCAAATAAATAAATATTTTTTTAAAATGATATCTTGGTTATTTTATGATGGGATGAAGCACTCTCGTTCTTCCTTGTCCCTATTAAGTAGTATGACCATATAATTCACTACCCCAAAATAATACATTTTGAGACTACAAGAGAGCACTATTAATAGTTACACCAGGATAACAGGCTCTCCCAAACAAATCAGACATATGGCCCCTTCTTTGTAAATATCTACCCATCCACTGCTATCACCCTGGGCCTCATCTGGAAATGCAGAAGATCCTATAGTCTTTGGGCATTAGGGTTGTATTTAAATTTAGCCATGAGTCACATTTCCTAAAACAATTCTCACAATGCTACAGCTACAAAATGGATGAAATGGTAATGTCAAGGCACTGGAGCCTAGCCTTTGAGCACCACAGGCAGTATGGAACAATATTTTAAAAATTATATCACCGTGCAGTACAGGTAATTCCCGAGGAATCTATTCTTCCCCAGCGCAGTCCACTTGTCTTTGTTACAAATGTAACTATATTTGAATACAAACCCTAAAAGTGGCCCACCTATCAGACAGTCTTACTTCTCAGTGTGTTGTTTCTGCACCAACAACATCAGCATTACAAGGGGACCTGTTAGAAATGTACACTCTCGGGCCTGTACGAGATCTCTATCAGAAATGCTGCAAGTGCGGCCCAGTAATCTGCATTTAAACATGATTCCAGTGCATGCTACTGTTTGAGAACCTCTGATGGAGAGCTGGCACAACGTCCCATATGGTAGCCACTAGCTATTTATTCTTCTTAAATTAAGAAAAAAGTTAAAATTTAGTTCCTCAGTCACAATGCATGTATTTCACAGGCTCAACAACCACACACATGGCTAACAATGATTGTACTAGTGAAGGCAGAATACAGAACATTTCTCACTGCAGAAAGTTCTTCCGGACAAGTTCTGGCCTGGAGCACCACGGGTGGTGGGCCTGGCAGAGTAAAGAATGTGTGTGGGAGTCACCAACGATGCAGGCACACCCTTCCTGTCCTGATTCCCAGTCTGGCACAGAGGAAACAGGCAGGAGACCGAGCTGCTGTTTATCCACTATTCCCACTGGGACTTAGCGAGCTACTGAGACATGAACGGCAGCTCTGGAACACATTTTGTCCTTCAAAAACACTGTACTTTCTGTGACACTGCTCTGGAAAAAGAAAAGATTCAAAGCGAGTGCTTCAAAATGAACTGGACACGGTGACACCTGGGTCAAGGTCTGAACAAATCATTTCCTAGTTGTGTTTGTGGCTGTATTACTTCATTTCTTTACAACTTCTCTCATGTGTAAACTGATAACTCCTGCCTCAACAGGAAATAACAGTGAAATAAGCCAGGCACAAAAGGACAAACACATCATGATCTCACTTCTCATGGGCAAAATCCAAAAAACTTGAACTCTTGCTGTGGGTGTTTGGGGTGGCAGCTGAGATGCTACCTGGGACACCTGCATTCCTTATCAGAATGCCTGGTTCCCGGGCTGGCTCTGACCCAGCTTCCGCTAGAGTACACACTGGGAGGCAGCAGGTGATGGCTCAAGTACTTGGATACCTGTCACCCACTGGCAGACTCAGATTGAATTCTGGGCTCCTGGCTTTGGTGTGGCCCAGCCCTGGCTGTGTGGGCATTTGGGGAATGAACCAGCAGATGGACCATCTCTGTTTTTCTGTTATCTTGCAAATAAAGTGGGGGGAGGGGAGCCCGATGAACTCTTGTAAGTAGAGTAGAAAGCTGGTTACCAGAGGTTGGGGTAGGGGCAGGGGGGAAACAGGGAGTTGTTGACTAAAGGGTGTAAAGTTTTAGATAAAAAGATAACTACTCTGAGATGCATTGCACAGCCAGGGTGACTGCTGTCAACAATAATGAATATTTTATGTGAAAATTTCACTGTAAGTTGGGATAGGTTAGTGAAGTGGTGGATTTTTTTTTTTAGTTCTTTTTTAAAATATTTATTTATTTGTTTGAGAGGCAGAGCTACAGACAGAAAGAGGGAGAGACAGGGAGAAAGGCCTTCCATCTGCTGGTACACTCCCCAAATGGCTGCAATGGCCAGAGCTGGGCTGATCCGAGGCTAGGTGCCAGGAGATTCTTCTGGGTCTCCCATGTGAGTTCAGGGGCCCAATTACCTGGGCCATCTTCTACTACCTTCCCAGGCCATAGCAGAGAGCTGGATTGGAAGAAGAGCAGCTGCGACACAAACTGGAGCCCATATGGGATGCCGGCACAGCAGGCAGAGGCTCAACCTACTATGCCAGAGCACCCGCCCTAGTGATGGGTTTGTTAATAGCTTGCTTAATCATTCCACATTGCATATATATATATGTCAAAACATCAGGGGAAGGCATTTGGCTTAGTGGTTAAGTGGCCACTTGGGATATCCACATGCCATTTCAGGGTTTGAGTCTCGGGTCAGCTTCTGACTCCAGCTGAGGTGGCTGGGTCACTGGCACCCATGTGGGAGACCCAGATGGAGTTCCTGGCTTCCAGCTTCAGCTTTGGTCTGGCCCAGCCTGGCTATTGCAGGTATTTGGGGAATTAACTAGCAAATAGGAGATTGCTGTCTGCCTTTCAAACAAATAACATTAAAAAAAAAAGATGATGAAACAATTTATCTAAAAGAAATAGCATATATGGGGCTGGCGCTGTGGCTCACTTGGTTAATCCTCCACCTGTGGCGCCGGCATCCCATATGGGCGCTGGGTTCTAGTCCCAGCTGCCCCTCTTCCAGGCCAGCTCTCTGCTGTGGCCCAGGAGTGCAGTGGAGGATGGCCCAAGTGCTTGGGCCCTGCACCCCATGGGAGACCAGGAAGAAGCACCTGGCTCCTGGCTTCGGATCAGTGCAGCACCGGCCTTGGCGGCCATTTGGGGAGTGAACCAATGGAAGGAAGACCTTTCTCTCTGTCTCTCTCTCTCACTGTCTATAACTTTGCTGGCCAAATTAAAAAAAAGAAAAGAAAAGAAAAAGAAATCACATATATAAAGTTTGCTGAAGCCCCTGGCACATAGGGACATACATTTACCTGTTGAGTAAAACCTCTGTGCGCGATCTATTCACGCATACTAACAAATACGGGAGATGAGGGTATTTTAGCATTTCAACAGGTGTGCTTATTAAAGTTAAAAAAAAAACAGCACTGAAGGGGTATCTCTTCTTGTAACATTCTGCACATTTTTCAAAGTTGTGTTAGGGATCTGGAGGTTAAGATGCTCTCTTCAGCAGGCTTCCTCATGTAACTGAAACATCACAGCATCCTGTAACGCACATCCTGTTCCTCGGGTAACTACATGCACATCATAGCACCAGTCTCAGAAGGGTGAAGCTACAGTGGGAGCAGGGTAAGAAGTAGGATATAGACGCAAGAGGAGACGGAGTTGTTTGCAATCTCCACTGCCCAGCTTCCTTTCAACAGAGTCACATGACTGTCACACTCCAGGGGCAGGGTCTGCCTCAACTCACAGCCCTTCTGCCTGGCCAGGCTTTCTACTCAATCATAGACATTCTTCTCCTGTACTCCTAAGATCTTAGTCCTGGACCGGCTAGAGGTAATCTTCCTTTATCTCAACCCTAACTGCTCATGGTTTGAATCTATGCCTATCTCTTTAATTTTACCAATTTTTTTATTTACTTGAGAAGTAAGGAAACAAAGGGAGGGAGGGGGAGGGAGAAGGGAGAGAGAGAGGAAGGGAGGGCGAGGAAGACAGAGTGGGAAAGAGAGAGTGTGAACATTCCCTTCCACTGGTTCACTCCCCAAAATTCATCCAACAGCCCTGGTTGGGAGCCAAAATAAGAAACTGGGAAGTCAATCCAGGTATCCCACATGGATGGCAGAAACCTAATAACTTGAGCCATCACCACTTCCTCCTAGGATCTGCATTAGAGGGAAGCTGGAGTCAGCAGCAGGAGCCTGGAATTGAACCCAGGCCCTCTAGTGTGGGACACAGGTGTCCTGGCATCTACGTCAAAAGCCCGCTTTCCACACTCATCTCCTTGACCAGTGAGATGGTGATGGTTTCTTACAGGTAAGTCTGGATTAGGTATGAGGATGGGAACTCCATTAGAGTCATCTATTTATGGACCATCAGCTCTTAACAACAAAATTAAGTCATCTCACCAGCTCCACATGAAAAGCAAAAGTTAACTGAGCATATTTAATACTACAAACCACATCAAAAGACCTAAGATTTTCTCTTTTTTCAAATGACTCGTTGTATCATACTATCTTAACTGCAGAAAAAAGCCAGCTCACTGGAGTACCAAGCAGAAGAGAGCTAACCCAGCTGGCCCGAGACTGCTCTCCTTATAAAGTTCTGCTTGCTGAGCTGCTGTCTGGGAAGCGGTTTCCTCTGCACTGCAGCCCATGGACCTTCTGCCTTTGCTGATTTTGTTTTGCATCCTTTCGCTTTCGTGAATGTAAGCCACAAGCAGCAGGAACTGTGAGCTCTTCTGTGAACTGTGGAGCCCCAACACAAGTACAAATCTCCCCAAACTCACTCTTGTCTGCAGCCCCCGGCGTTTGGGAAAGAAAAGAAGTTAATCTTAGAGGTGTGAACTGACTTGTAGATGTTACCCTCTATTTTCAACCAGACCACCAGGACAGGTAAAGGACAAATACTTCCAGCTGAGAAAATAAAACACTGCACAAGACTTTTATTGTTTATATTCCAAAATGCCAGGCCACCACAGAATCTAGGTCACTTAAATCAAAGCTTTAGTTGAGAATTCATGAATTCTGCTTTTTTTTAACTCTTAGCAGTGGGTCATCAGCCTCAGCGTGAGCACCTGCAGTAATGGAGAAGGCACTCTTCTCAACGCTGTCCAGTCCATCCCACTCTGTCTTCCCATAGCTTATTTTTGGTCCCAATTCTATTCTTGGGAGTCTCACAGAATGAGGAAGAAGGCTGAACATTCCTAATCAAAAAATGTGAAATCTGGGGGCTAGCACTGTGGTGTAGCAGGTTAAGTTGCCATGTGCAGCACCAGCATCCCATAAGGGTTCCAGTTCTAGTCCCGGCTGCTCCACTTCCAATCTAGCTCCCTACTAATGTGCCTAGGAAAGCACAAAAGATGGCCCAAATGCTTGGGCCCCTGCAACTATATGGGAGATCCAGAGGAAGCTCCTGGCTCCTGGCTTTGGATTGGCTCAGCTCCAGCCATTGCAGACATTTGAGGAGTAAACAAGCTGATAGAAGATCGATCGATCTCTCTCTCTCTATCTAACTCTGCCATTCAAATAAATAAAAATAAATCTTTTTAAAAAAAAAGCCTTCAGGAAATATGTTTAGGGCATGTATGAAACATAAGTGAATTTAATGCTTAGATCTGGATTCGATCCAAATAAGATATCTCATTATGTAAATGCAAATATTCCAAATCTAAAAAAAATTCACAATCTGAAACACTTCTGGTCCCAGGCATTTTGGATTAGGGATACTCAAACTGGATCATTCCTCAACGAATGCCACCTTTGCCAGCCTGTGTCCTTCCATCTCGTCTTAGTGTGTGTATATGTGTCTCTTTGTGTCTTCCTCTTCTTTGTGTGGGTGTCATTCTGCCCTGCCCTCCCTTTTAAGGTTTATTTTATTTACCTGAAAGGTCAAGCCAGAGAGAGAGCACTGGATAGAAGAGAAAGTGATCTTCCATCCACTGGTTCACTCCTCAACTGGCTGCAATGGCTGGGGCTGGGCCAGGCCGAAATTAGGAGCCTGGAACTCTATCCAGGTCTCCTACATAGGTGATAGGAGTCCAAGCACTTGGGCCATCTTCTACTGCTTTCCCAGGCACATTAGCAAGGAGCTGGATGGGAAGCAGAGCATATGGGAACTGGAACTGTTGCTCTGTTATGGGATGTTATGGGATGTTATTAAATCTATTGTTTAATCCAGTGCACCACAGTGATGGCCCCTGTCATTCTCTTTGAGTACCTTCTCTGATGTTTTCCCCTCACTTTTGCTTCATCTAGTTATGATATAACCAAAATAATTTTAATTTTCTTTTGTATTTAATGAGTAGAATTTTGTTTACCCTTAATTTAAAAATGAATGGATGGAGGCCAGTAATGTGGCATAACAGGTTAAGCTGCTGGCCTGCTGGCCTCCCATATAAGCACTGGCTTGAGCCCCAGCTGCTCTACTTTGACCCAGCTCCCTGCTAATGGCCTGGGAAAGCATAGTAAAGTGGCTCAAGTGCTTGGGCCCCTGCACCATGTGGGAGACCTGGAAAAAGCTCCTGGCTCCTGGCTTCGGCCTGGCCCAGCCCTGGCCATTTGGGGAGTAAACCAGCAGATGGAAGACCTTTCTCTCTATCCCTCCCTTTCTCTCTCTGTAACTGCTTTTCAAATAAATAAAATAGATCTTCAAAAAAACAAAAATCAATGGATGACACATTCACCTTTTGTGACTCTCAGTGAATAATTTTGTGCAAGTCACTGGTTCTTTACACAGCAAGATTCCTCACCCTTGCTCATACTGAATAGAAATGTCACATTTACTACTGTAGATTTCTAACAGTGGTGGGAAGGAGGTTTTCCCTACTGTAGATTTCTAACAGTGGTGGGAAGGAGGGTTTTCCCACAGACCTGCAAGCAGCAGAGAAGTTCACCTTGTGTCTCTTAAAGGGAACTTCCAAGGTCTTGTAAGAAGAGCTTCCCTCTTTAGGTTTCTCCCTTTACACCAACCATAGAGAGCGAGAGCACTCACCCAGTGGGAGAGCCCGGGTCAGGTTAGCAGCTGGAGGATCTGTTTCCGGAGGACAGAGCTCACAGAAGTCCCAACAGGATGGGCACAGCAGGTTTCCATTGTGAATCCAGCCATTCATCTGAATACTGACAGGGAGCACCTGTCTGGCACGACTACACAAATATGAAGTATCTTGGACCCAAACCTTCAGACCTTGCGGAGAACAAGAAACCTTCAAATGCGGGGGGAGAGGGGAGGAGAAGTCCAGGTCAGTATCAGGAATATGAGACTTTGAGATTTATACTTCAACTGAAGGAATATACTAGAGGACTTTAAAAAGTTTGTGGAAATATTGAATTAAGAGATAAGTCTATTTTGGTGCAAAATGTTTGAAATACATACATAGTTTTTTCATAAAACATACTTTCCATGAACTTTCTGAAGATTCTGCATATGTTAAAATTTACTAAATATATTGGCTATAAAACAGAATTTGGGATACCAGCATTATCTTAATGTTTTGTAAAGAGGGTTAAGTTATTTAGCTTCTAAAAGAATTTCACTCTGTGGTAGTAGTCCTTAAACTTTGAGGCCAGCACCTGTTTTAGAATCTAATGGAAACTATGGACTCTTTTCCTGAAAAATATAAGAAACAGCTTTAAATACAATTTGAATTCATAGACCATGAAGCCAAATTAGGAATAACATTTTTGTAGCTTCCAGTATCCTTATAAACTTCAACTTAAGTCTCTGTTGAACAACCATCAACCATGCACTTTCTCCATAAGTCATTAAATGTTGTTAAGTCAAATTTTGATTAGGGGGCGACATTGTGGTGCAGTGAGTTAAGTTACCTCTTGCAACGCCCCCATATCTAAGGGCCAGCTGGAGTCCTGGAGGCTCCATTTCTGACCCAGCTCCCTGCTAGCATGCTTGGGAAAACAGCAGATGATGATCCAAGTACTTGGGATCTTACTGCTCATGTGTGAGACCCAGATGGGATTCTGGGCTCCTGGCTTTGGCCTGGCCTGGCTTCACCCTGGCTGTTTTAGCCATTTGGAAAGTGAATCAGTGCCAAAAAAAAAATCTATTTTTTTCCTCTAACTTTCAAATAAATAAATAAGTAAATCTTTAAAAAATTACTGTGTTGGGCTGGCACTGTGGCATAGAGGGTAAAGCTGCTATCCGCAGAGAAAGCATCCCATACGGGCGCTGGTTCAAGCCCTGACTACTCTACTTTTGATCTAGCTCCTTGCTAATGTTCCTGGGAAAGCAGTGGAAGATGGAAGAAGTGGAAGATTTCTAATCTAAAGATGTGACTAATATTTGGATCATGGTAAGGCAGATGCTACAGATTGGGTTACAGGTTGCACAAGACTTAGAGATGAGAATTATATGAGAGTGTGGACAGGTTAAGAAGAAAACTCTTTTGAAGAAGACTTGTCATTGAGGAATTCTAGGAATTAAGGGCAGATGCACAAGTAGTAGCAGACTGAACAGACTCAAGACTGTGGCGCAGTGGGTTAACGGCCTGGCCTGGAGCGCCGGCATCCCATATGGGCACTGGTTTGAGACCTGGCTGCTCCACTTCTCGTCTAGCTCTCTGCTATGGCCTGGGAAAGCAGTAGAAGATGGCCCAAGTCCTTGGGGCCCTGCACCTTTGTAGGAGACCTGGAAGAAGCTCCTGGCTTCAGATCAGCACAGCTCCAGCCGTTGTGGCCAACTGGGGAGTGAACCAGCAGATGGAAGACCTCTCTCTCTCTCTCTGCCTCCCCTTCTCTCTCTGTGTAACTCTGACTTTCAAATACTAAATAAATAAATCTTTTTTTTTTTTTTTTTGACAGGCAGAGTGCACAGTGAGAGAGAGAGAGAGACAGAGAGAAAGGTCTTCCTTTTCCATTGGTTCACCCCCCAATGGCCACTGCGGCCGGCATGCTGTGGCTGGCGCACCGCGCTGATCCGAAGGCAGGAGCCAGGTGCTTCTCCTGGTCTCCCATGCAGGTGCAGGGCCCAAGCACTTGGGCCATCCTCCACTGCACTCCCGGGCCACAGCAGAGAACTGGACTAGAAGAGGGGCAACCGGGACAGAATCCAGCGCCCCGACCGGGGTGCCAGCGCCGCAGGCGGAGGATTAGCCTATTGAGCCACGGTGCTGGCCATAAGTAAATAAATCTTCAAAAAAAAAAAAAAAAAAAAAGACAGTGGAATCAAAATCCATGAGAGCGAAAGCCGAGAAGCAGTTGGATCAACACTGCAGAACAAAAGGAAGGCTCAAGAATTGCTGGTGCCAGAAACTAGAACATGAGAGTAGTTCAGCTAGAAAGACTGAAGTCCCTTTAAGAGACAGACCCCAGGCTTCCTTCCAACACCACGAGCAGTGGGGGCCACTGTTTCTTCCTAATCTACCACACAAGAGACTTATGTTTGGGAAAGAGAAAAACAGAGGATTTCTGCTTTGGGGGAAAGCAAGTACGGGTGAAGGCTGGGAGCCATTCTGAAAATAAGGACTCTAAGTAAAAGTTTACAAACCAAATATTTTTTATAAGGGTTTTATTTATTTATTTGAAAGGCAGAGAGAGAGAGAGACAGACAGACAGATCTTCTATCTGCAAGTTCACTCCCCCAAGTGGTTGCAAAGGCCATGGCTGAGCCAGGCAAAGCCAGAAGTTGGGTCTCCCATATGGGTGCAGGGGCCCAAAGACTTGTACAATCCTTTGCTGCTTTCCCTGGCACACTAGCAGGGAGTTGCATTGAAAGTGGAACAGCTGAGACATGAACCGGCATCCATAGGGGATTCCAGAGCTGCAGCTGGAGGCTTAACCCACTTACCACAGCCAGCCCCTACATACTAAATATCAAGGCTCTTTAACATTCAAAACCAACTTCGTTCCTAGAATTGACAGTTATGAATACAAACCCCAGGCAGGATATTTTAAATTTCCTCAGATAATCCTGATCAGTCTACAAGGAAAACCCCTGAAGGTCTAAATATCAAAGGTAAAGAAAGAGGTTTGCAGCAAAGACTACAGGAAACTGGCCCTATACACATGCTCAGAACTTCCAAATGCCTTCCAGTCAGTCTTGAATATGAATAGGCGGTTAAAGATCACCAAAACAGATCCAAGCCATTAAATTTTAGTGTTTTAGAGGGATGTATGAAAAGTTAAAAAAGCCATCAAGTTCTAGAAAGGAAAGAAAAAATATTACATATAATAAAAAATCAGAATGACATTGGCTAGAATACAAAGGGAAATGCCTTTAGAATTCTAATGGAAATGCTTTTCAGAAAGAAAGCTACACCCAGCAAACTACTGAAGGATGACAGAATATGCCACCTGCAGTATGCATTTTAGTACAAGAACTATTTAGAGATAAAGGCACTTTAAAACCAGTAGCTGGGGCCGGTGCTGTTGCGTAACATGTAAAGAAGCCGCCTGCAGTGCTAGCAGCCCATATGGGTGCTGGTTCAAGTCCTGGCTGCTCCACGTCTGATTTAGCTCCCTGGATGTGCCTGGGAAAGCGGTGGGAGATGGCCCAAATCACTGGGCCCCTGCACCCACGTGGGAGACTTGGAAGAAGCTTCTGGCTCCTGGCTTTGGATTGGCACAGCTCCAGCCATTGCAACCATTAGGGGAGTGAACCAGCAGATGGAAGACCTCTTTCTCTCTCTGCCTCTCTGTAACTCCACCTTTCAAATAAATAAACCTTTAAAACAAAACAAAACAAAACAATAGGGCTGGCACTGTGGCACAGCGGGTAAAGCCACCGCCTTCAGAGCCGGCATCCCATATCGCTGCCGGTTTGAGGCCCAGCTGCTCAACTTCTGATCCAGCTCTCTGCTATGGCCTGGGAAAGCAGTAGAAGATGGCTCAAGTCCTTGGGCCCCTGCACCCACATGGGAGACCCGGAAGAAGCTCCTGGCTTGGATTGGCGCAGCTTGGCTGTTGTGGCCAATTGGGGAGTGAACCATTGGATGGAAGACCTCTCTCTTTCTCTCTCTCTCTGCCTCTCTTCTCTCTGTGTAATTCTTTCAAATAAATAAATCTTTAAAAAAACAAAACAAAACAAGGGGCTGGCGCAGTGGCACAGTGTGTTAAAGCCCCAGCCTGCAGCACCAGCATCCCATATGGGCACTGGTTCGAGTCTCGGCTGCTCCTCTTCCCATCCAGCTCTCTGCTATGGCCTGGGAAAGCAGTAGAAGATAGCCCAAGTCCTTGGGCCCCTGCGCCCGTGTGGGAGACCTGGAAGAAGCTCCTGGCTCCTGGCTTTGGATCAGCTCGGCTCTGGCTGTTGTAGTCATTTGGGGAGTGAACCAGTGGAATGGAAGACCTCTCTCTCTACCTCTCTGTAACTGTGTTTCAAATAAATAAAATAATTCTTTAAAAAAAATACCAGTAGTTACAGGGCTGTGGCACAGTGGTTAAGATGCCACTCTGGGGTGTCTGCGTTGGAGAGCCTGGGTTTGAGCTCTGGCCCTGTTCCCAGTTCAGCTTCCTGCTAATGTGCACCCTGGAGGCAGCAGCTGATGGTTCAAATAGCTGGTCTCTGCTACTCATGTGGGAGACCTGGATTGAGTTCCTGGATCCTGACTTCAGCCTGGCCTAAGCCTCAGCCGTTGTGAGCATTTGGGGAACAACCAGCAGATGGGAAGTCTATCTCTCCAACAAATAAAGAAAGAAAAGAAGGGTAATAACATGAGAAACTGGCAGACACCAACAAGTTAAATGTCATCAGCGAAGGCACAAAGAGTACCAGAAGGAAACAAGCATTGTTTGCGTGGTCTTCCTGCCCAAACTACATACTCATGAGAAAACATCAGATGATCAAAACCCAGGGACGTCCTAGCAAAGGACTGGCCTGTAGTCTGTGTCGAGGTTGAGAAAGTCAAGGAACTCTATAAAGGAGACCAGAGATGTGACAAGCTCTTGCTAAAATGACATTATTGGGACAACTGGTAAAACTCAAATGGGGTCTTGCTATGGCCTGAATACTTGTGCCCCCTCAAAAACCAAATGCTGAAACCCAATCTTCAGTGCAACAGTGTTAGCAGGTTAGGCCTGAGGGTAGTTTGGGAGGTAATTAGGAATGGGATTAGTATTGCTTTGAAGACCCCAGAGAGCTGCCTTGTCCCCTTTCAGGTGCCATCCATGACCCAGGAAGGTGATGGTCACCAGAGAATGTGCTGGCATCTTGCTCTTGGCCTTTCAGCTTCCATAACTGTAAGAAATCAATTTCTGTTGTTTACAAGCCATCTAGTACATGGTACTTTGTTAGAACGGATTCCCAGAAGTGAAATTACTATAAAACTTACTGACATGTAGCAAATCAATGTTTTTTAAGCAAAAGAAGGAAGGCAATGTTTCTCAAAGAAAGGATAATATTTTCACAAAATACAAGCATCCAAACTAATACACAAATAAATAAGTTCAAATCTTGATTGGTTAACTATATAAAAATATATTTTAACACAGAAAAAACATTTGATGAGGTAGAACTATGTAATATTTGGCATGATTATTAATAAAGATAACTTTACCTGATAGCATCCACTCCCCCAGTCTGGGTAGCTCAGCTTCCTCTCACACTTTTCCATGACAAATGCTGACTTTTGAATTAGACAAACTGAATGAGGTCCATACTTTTCAGCACCATAATTTTTAAAAATTTCTGAAGCAAACCAGAAAAGTTCCCTCAATAAATGAATTTTTGATTTAAAGAACAAGAAATTGAAACATTTCATTTTATTGATTGAAAGTTGCTTTTCAAATCAAATATGTTTAACGGGACTATTAAATTTTAAAAATTAAGGTAAGTAGAACTCAGTCTCAAACTGAGTTCTCAATGAAGGGATGAGTGGGAGAAAATTATTATCAGAGAAACAAGGGAATAAAACTAGCCCACAGTATCAGAGCAACTGGTCCTAAGAATCAATAGATGACTGGACACCGAGACAGGAATCTGATTCAGTGGTGGCCTAATCAGACGTCACCTCCAAGTGACCCAAAACAGGATGGGGCCAAATGATTCATGTAATGACAGTTTTTTTGAGATATCCCAATTTTTGTAAAACTTCCTGGTGTCTTCAACTTGGGCCACCTCCTGGAAGTCCACAAATAACAGGCTGAGCTAGTCTCAGAAACCGCGCAAACCTGCAGAGGCATGGGGCATGGACTATGGACCTCTGAACACCTACTGACAAAAGGATCAAACTCTTAAACCCTAGCAATCATTTGTTCTTTTCACATTCTCTACAAGTTTTATTTTGTGAAAGTAGAGAGCTCAACCAGCCCATTTTGAAATATTGTAAATATTTTTTTTGTTTTGAAAAATCTTAACTGGATAACCTAAATCTGAAAATGTAAAACAGAATAAAACAGACTCTATTTCTTTTACTTACGAGTTTCAAAGTCTTCAAAAAATATTGTGACCAGCATCTAAAAGAGTTCAGCCAAATGCTGACCCACTCATTCATTTATGTATAGTCTATAAGGGCATTCGCACTCTAACAGCAAAGCTCAGTAGAGGCCACAGAGACTGAACTCACAAAGCCTGAGATATTCATGTCTTGTTCTTTATTAAAAAACAACATACGTTGACCATAGTTCTAAAGCAATAAAATGTGATATTATGTCTTTAGCAAGTCCCTAAGTGACAAATCTGTACATTTCTTTTACTTTAATATGGAACAGCTGAGCAAGTCTTTAGGCCATTTATTAAATAAAAGGGTGATGGGGAAAAATTACTGCACAAATCCAGTTAAATCTGCTAGGTTTGAAAGGTAAAATTTAATGTAAATCACTTACTTACAACCAAGTATGGAATAAGGCAAAAGAAAAGACTGGGTTAAAAATACTGATGGCCACAGAGAGAAAAACTAATTGCTGTTCTTCATTAACATATCAGATTTGAGAATATTTCTGATTACAAAGATAGTTAATCGCAGAACACCCAACTGCCATACTCTTTCCTCCTTTGATGGCCTGTTCACTTATATGTATTAAAAGGAAATCAATAATATAGCAATGTGTCTAGTCATGGGACAATAGTTATTATTCTGATTTCTGAAAAACAACATGCTACTTCTAAATTATATAAAATGTGCATCCTCAAAAAGGAACAAAAAGTTATACGAGATGTTTTAATAAAAATTTTAAAAGCCATGCTATACTGAGTATCCTGCACTGACACGAATTAACTATTCCACTTAGTGTCTGTTTACTCACCTGTGAAATACAGTATTTTGTCTATGTATCTTACAAGGCTTTTAGAAGAATAAAATGAAATGATAAAAATGAAAAACACTCTTTTCAAGTGGAAAGGGCTATTCAGATGTAAGGTACAACCAAAGCTGAGGCGTGTGAAAGCATGTGTGTATGGACCTAACAGCGAACAATCTCTGGTATGTGTCAGAAGAGTCTGAAGCACTTAGCATATTAATTCATTTAATTTTTATAACAAATCTATGAGATAGCTACTATTATCCACATTGTACAAATGGGAAACAGAGGGAAATTAAGTCACTTTTTATAAATGGATAGCGGTGGAAACAGAGCGTAAATATTTCACATTGCTGACATATAATATTAATATGTATGTGATATGCATTTCACTAGACTACTAACCTGGTTGATTTTCCAAAATTCTACAGTCTGAGCTGCGCTGATATTCACCACTTAAATGCCAACTGAATTCCTGACTGAAAGGACAGTAGTCAGCAATTTCTACTGAACCACCGTAATAAGGCAGCTCTTCCGCAGGGATTCCACTGAGTTCATCGAAGTACTGCAAAGAAATGATTGGGAAGACAGGAGAGAAAGAAGCAGTCTTTAAAAACAAAGTCAATGTATAGCAATGCTCTAATTCCATGTAACACAAGACACTGATACACTTCATAAACAGCCCAACACAAAAAACGTAGTAAAAATCACATGAGGGGTATTTTAAGGTTGCTAAAGTATTAGAAGTCACCAAATTAGTCTGAATTATTTATTTGGATGGCAAGTTTAGTTAATGTTTTAAAAGGAAGAAATAGGGGTTGTGGTGCAGACGGTTATGCTGCTGCCTGCAATGCCAGCATCCCATCGAGTCCCACCTCCGATCCAGCTCCTCAACATGCCTGGGAAAAAGCAGAAGATGGCCTAAGTGCTTGGGCTCTTGCACCCACATGGGAGACTAGAATAGAATTCCAGGCTCCTAACTTCAGCCTGACCCAGCCTTGGCCATTATTACCAACTGAGGAGTGAACCATTGGATGAAAAGCTCTCTCTCTGTCTTTCCCTCTATTTGTGTAACTCTGCCTTTCAAATAAACAAATAAATCTTTATTTATTTTTTATTTATTTTTTATTTTTATTTTTTGACAGGCAGAGTGGACAGTGAGAGAGAGAGAGAGAGAGAAAGGTCTTCCTTTGCCGTTGGTTCACCCTCCAATGGCCGCCGCGGCCGGCGCGCTGCAGCCGGCGCACCGCGCTGATCCGATGGCAGGAGCCAGGAGCCAGGTGCTTCCTCCTGGTCTCCTATGGGGTACAGGGCCCAAGCACCTGGGCCATCCTCCACTGCACTCCCTGGCCACAGCAGAGAGCTGGCCTGGAAGAGGGGCAACCGGGACAGAATCCGGCGCCCCAACCGGGACTAGAACCCGGTGTGCCGGCGCCGCTAGGCGGAGGATTAGCCTAGTGAGCCGCGGCGCCGGCCTAACAAATAAATCTTTAAAAAACTCATTGTTTCTGAAAAAAAAAAAAAAAAAAAAGATTAACTAGAAATTACACTGAACAAAACAATAGGGTTTAATAGCTGACAAAACAAAACTAATATATATGAGGTTAAGATATTTAAAATATACAAGTGTTTTTAGGAGATTTAATTGAAGAGTTCTTTTGACAAAATTGAGAAAACAAATGAGATATTTTGAATACCAAAGGAGCAAGGTATTAGATAAACTTTAAAGATTTCACATTTGCATAAACTTGCTGAGTTATATTACTATGTCTAGAAATACCATTGCCTCAGCAGGGTCATAAACGTATGTAGGGGTGCCGGCGTGGCATTGTGGGTAAAACCACCACCTACAACACCAGCATCCCAGATGAGTGCCAGCCGGTTCATGTCCCAGCTGCTCCACTTCGGATCCAGCTCCCTGTTAATGGCCTGGGAAAGCAACAGAAGATGGCCCAAGTGTTTGGGCCCCTGGACCCATGGGACAGACCCAGAAGAAGCTCTTAATTCCTGGCTTTGGCCTGGTCCAGACCATTGCAGCCATCTGGGAAATGAATCAGTAAATGGAAGATCTCTCTCTCTCTCTGTGTTTCTCCCTTGCTCTAACTCTTTCACGTAAAAGAATTAAGTATTTTTTAAAAATATTTATTTTATTTATTTGAAAGAGTTAGTAAGAGATGTAGAGACAGAGAGAAAGGTCTTCCAATGGCGATTCACTCCCTAAATGGGCACAATTGCTGGAGCTAGGCCAATCCGAAGCTAGGAGCCAGGAGCTTCTTCCAGGTCTCCCACGTGGATGCAGGGGCCCAAGGACTTGGGTCACCTTCTACTGCTTTCCCAGGCCATAGCAATGAGCTGGATCATAAGTGGAGCAGCCAGGACTTGAACAGGCCCAATGCTGCAGGCCAGGGCTTTAACCTACTGTGCCCCAGCACTGGCAAGAATAAATCTTTAAAACAAAACAAATATATGTAGGAAGCTCAAAATTTAGTGGCTACCATTTTAAGTTAGCTTCTGAGACATGTTTCTTACTAAAAATTCCTTTGTGAATGGCAAGTGAATATAAGGTATTTAGAAACAGCCATGGTAACAAGAAACCAGCAGATGGAAGATTCTCTGCCACTCTGCCTTTTGAATATATCTTAAAAAAAAAAAAAAAAAGCTAAAGGTCAAATTAGATATTCATTCTGGACCCATGAGACTATTTCGTTAGCCTTTTAGATCTCATGCAGGGATCCCAGCAGGGAGTGGATCAGAAGTGGAACAGCCAGGACTCCAGCGCCTACATGGGATGCAGGCATTGCAAGTGGTGACTTTACCTGCGACACCACAGCGCCGGCCCTTCAGTTTTTTTCTAACATGAAAAACACATGGGACCTTATATAATGAAAAATTTTAGAGAATTAATTCTTCTAATTCAAAATAGAGACTACATTTTAGCAAGTTGATTCCTAAAATTATGCCCCAAACAAGTGTTACCTGGTACTCTTGTGGTAAAGGTTTAGGAAACTTTTGCAAATTACACACAGCAACTGCTCTCAGGTCCTGTCTGCAAGTTAACTGCAACGGATTACTTCTGAGTGTGTCACAGTAGGGGCTCAGCGTCTGTCTCCTGTGCACAAAGATAAGCATCATGGTATCAATGTCAAAAAAAGTTTAAGTCTATCATAGAGCTTGTCTCTTGGTTATAATCTAAACATTTTAATGGTTTATAACTAATTGCTGATTCAGGTTATGCGATTTTTCAGAGTAAAAGGAAATGATTAACATAGATATGGAAGGGTAATACTTGGTGCATTGTACCATTATTTCATGGTTATTAAGTAAAATCCTATTTATCTTATTCTCCATTTTTATCAGCAAAATTCAGTTCTGCAGACCTGCTTTGTATTTTTAATCCAACAAATAAAATTCCTTATCCTGGCCTAAAAATCCAATTTTCATAATTAACAAATAAGAGTCTCAGGAAGAGATGGAGATGGTGTCCTCTCTGTCCCATAGCTATAAAGAACAAAATGTTTCCAATGTCAAAATCTACTTAAGGAATCTTATTTGACAATTTGTTAAATTACAAAAAATTCACAAGACAACTTTGTTTTCCTCTGCAAAATGAGTACTGTGTGAACATTCTCAACTGTTTTGTCCTCTGTTTAATCTTGTAAATATAATTTGAAAAAAAAAAGGAGTTATTGTAAATTCTTGAAAGATATCAGAATCTGTTGCACTGTCCTATAAAAATAACCTCCAACTTGTAACTCTGATCAGTCATCAAACTGATGTTATAATAAAAAATTTATATTAATGTCATGACAGTGGTTAACAGACAAAATCTCAGTATTCTAAACAACAGCACCCTATAAAGACTGCTCTGTAAAAGTATTACACGATCACTCATGTTTTCCTCTTTTCACACATTTGCTAAAGAGAAAAAGCCTATTTTGATTTCTTATTTTAAGGAAAACTGATATATATTTCATTCAAATTACCATAATACATCCATAAAAACAATTTTAGGGAATCACAGCTTTTGAAGACAAAGCACGTAAAATATCCACGCTAGGCTTCATTCAGTACACCTGAAGCAGTACAGTGTCATAGAAAAGCAGAGATGTTGAGGCCAGCGCCGCGGCTCACTAGGCTAACCCTCCGCCTGTGGCACCAGCACCCCGGGTTCTAGTCCCGGTTGGGGTGCCGGATTCTGTCCCGGTTGCTCCTCTTCCAGTCCAGCTCTCTGCTCTGGCCCGGGAGTGCAGTGGAGGATGGCCCAGGTCCTTGGGCCCTGCACCTGCATGGTAGACCAGGAGGAAGCACCTGGCTCCTGGCTTCAGATTGGCACAGCGCGCTGGCTGCAGTGGCCATTGGAAGGTGAACCAACTGAAGGAAGACCTTTCTGTCGCTCTCTCTCACTGTCTAACTCTGCCTGTCAAAAGAAAAAAGAAAAGAAAAAAAAAAAAAAGCAGAGATGTTGAAGGCACCTCACAGCTTCGGCTCAAACACCAGAACCAGCCACTCACGTGGTATTAACTTTCCTAATATCCAACAGCAAAGCACTCAGGGCCTAGCACTGGAACTGGAACATCCGCTGTACACATCATTTTTACAAAATCTTAAAATAAGGCAGTTTTTTTTTTTTTTGTTTTTTTTTGATAGGCAGAGTTAGACAGTGAGAGAGAGAGAGACAGAGAGAAAGGTCTTCCTTTTCCGTTGGTTCACCCCCCAAATGGCCGCTATGGCCGGAGTGCTGCGCCGATCCGAAGCCAGGAGCCAGGTGCTTCCCCCTGGTCTACCATGTGGGTGCAGGGCCCAAGCACTTGGGCCATCCTCTACTGCCCTCCTGGGCCACAGCAGATTGCTGGACTGGAAGAGGAGCAACCGGGACAGAATCTGGCACCCCAACCGGGACTAGAACCCGGGGTGCTGGTGCCACAGGCGGAGGATCAGCCTAGTGAGCCACGGCGCTGGCCCAAATAAGGCAGTTTTATAACTTCCCTATGATAAAGTTCTAATGAATATGACCAGTAATTTTCAAATTCTTTTTATTTAAAGATTTATTTTATTTATTTGAAAGTGTTAAAGAGAGAGGTAGAGACAGAGAGATCTTTCACCAGCTGGTTCACTCCCCAAATGGCCACAATGGCAGGAGCTGAGCCTATCTGAAGCCAGGAGCCAGGAGCTTCTTCAGGGTCTCCCACTTGGCTGCAGGGGCCAAGCACTTGGGCCATTACCTGATGCTTTCCCAGGTGCATTAGCAGGGAGTTGGATGAGAAGTCGAACAGCCAGGACTTGAACCTTTACCCATGCGGGTGCCCCAGGGAGAAGCTTGGCCTATAACGCGACAGTACCCACCCCCAGTCAGATTCTTTAAAAAATTAAATTCACTGGAAATGCAGAGTTAGAGCAAGAGGAAGAGACACAGAGATCTTGGATCTGCTGGTTCACTCCCCAGATAACCTCAACGGTCAGGGCGGGGCTGGGCCAGGCCGAAGCCAGGAGCCAGGAACTTCATCAGGATCACCCATGAGTCACATTCTTACTACCTGGAATCTCATTTCCTTTATTCTCTAACACAAAAAGAGTACATTATACTTACTTTGATTAAAAAAATGAGTTTTGGCTAAATGAACGAACAAAAAAAGAAAAATTAGTGATTGGGGCCAGTATTGTGGCTCCTGGCTCCAGCCCTAGCTGTTCTGAGCATTTGGGGAGTGAAGCAGAGGATGGGAGCTCTCTACCTTTCATTCCCTCTGCTTTCTCTCAAATGAATACATTTTTAAAAGTACCTTTTTTAAAATATTGAATTCACATGTGCACCTATGTTTATGTGAAGAAAACAGTAAGGATGACAGAGTATACAAAAGACGCATATTTATGAATTATAAACTAAACAGAAATGTCCATGGCTCTGGGCCCCTCCTTGTGGCTATTTTTAGTGTATGTCTAAATACAATACTGCAGCTACTTATTATGATATTATTACCAACTACTTGCAGATGGTCTTCTGCACATTTAGAAATTAAATTTCTCCTGACTACATTTTGAAAACAGTTGACATTTTAGGCTTAGGATAAAGAACGACATCAGAAACCAACTGTGTAATCAAAGACATTATTAGGAGAAGCATTTCTTACTCTTGTCTCTGCCGATCAATCCAGAATTTACAGCTCTTCTTGACAAAGTCACAGCCCTTTCCTCGGCCCCAGTCTAACTTCTCAGCCATGCTATAATTCGCTGTATACCAGCTGTGGAAATAATCAAACAAAGCAGTTTTTAATTACTGTCACTTTAAAAAATATACCACTTACAAACTTCAATAAGCACCTATTATTAATAAGACTGTAATAAGGATGAGAGAGGCCATTGCCACTAGGGGGCTTTCACAGAGTCCTGGCTGCACCAGGTCACTGCAGAAGGGACAGGGAACTGGTCTCATTGGGAAGGTACTTCTGTGTTTGGAAGACAAAACATACGTCCATTGTAATTTTCTTTTCTTTTTTTTCTTTTTTTTTTTTTTTGACAGGCAGAGTTAGACAGTGAGAGAGAGAGAGACAGAGAGAAAGGTCTTCCTTCCGTCGGTTCACCCCACAAATGGCCACTGCAGCTGTGCGCTGTGGCCAGTGCACTGCGCCGATCTGAAGCCAGAAGCTGGTGCTTCCCCCTGGTCTTCCATGTGGGTGCAGGGCCCAAGGACCTGGGCCATCCTCCACTGCACTCCCGGGCCACAGCAGAGAGCTGGACTGGAAGAGGAGCAACCGGGACAGAATCTGGTGCCCCAACCGGGACTAGAACCCGGGGTGCCGGCGCCGCAGGCAGAGGATTAGCCTAGAGAGCCGTGGCGCCGGCCCATTGCAATTTTCAAAGATGACAGAAGTCATAGAAGATGTTAAGATACAGTTAAAGGGAATGAGGACCAAGGAAACAGAAAGAGAATGAGAGAAAGAGAAGAGAATACCCTGAGGAAGATATATGGGAATTTCTAGTTGGCTATCAGCCTTTATTTACCATGATTCAGTTGGCCCTACTTTCTTGCTTTTCTGGCCTTGAATTGGTGACATTCCATCACTACAAGCTAAGCATTACATGTTATTAACAAGACAAATGAATATCACTTCCAGTATTTTTTAAATGTTCGAATTTCAGAGAAAAGGAAAGATTTCATTCCCTAAATTTAACCAGTCAGTGTGCTTATTTTTATTAGTTTTTCTTTATTCTTAGGGACAAGATTAGTTTGCAAAGGTTACAAAATGATGCAAAATATTTTCTTGTCTGTCTCTATTATATCTTATCCCTTTAGTATTACCAAAACAATAAGCAAAAACATAAGTGCAAAGGCTGGGGATCTAAGAACCATTTCTCCAACACTAGCACTCTTCCCACAAAAATCAAATGAGAGTAGAAATATGTGAGATAGCACTTCTAAACTTTCTCCTCTTTCAAAGAAGAGAATGCTCTCAGAGAAAAAATACAGAAATGAATCACTGTACTGTTTACTCCAGGAGTAAAATGCCTGCAACCTCTGCAGCTACCATGGGAGTTGTTAGCTAAGTCATTCATCACAGCAAGGGTAAGTCGGTCAAATGTTAACAGGTGCCCCCACCACACCAGCAACTACTTTAACAGTGCCTTGGTTCGGAAGTCCTCTGCCCAGTGGATAAAACATAAAGTTACTGGCTACCCTAGGAGATGCCCACACCCAGTATTTGCGGATGAGTGCAGAGTGCAGTATCAGCATGGCCACTCCATCACCTCCACAGGGTAAGAGGTTCCTGAAAACCTTCACTGCAGCTCCTCCCATGCTATGCAGTAGTGAGCACTCATTACTCACTAGACACTTTGCTAAATGACAAGGCTACAGAAGTGAATAGCACACAGTTCCTGATCTCATGCAGATTATAATCCAAAGGGGAAGAAAGATATTAGAAAGAGACACTTTAGTTGTGATGAGTATTTACAAAGGAGAAGTAAAAGGAGCTCAGAGGAGCATATTCATGGGGATACCTTAGTTAGTCCGAGGAATCAGGAAAGGTTTTCCTGAGGAAGCAACTTTAAGCTAAACCCAGAGGATCTACACAGTTTTCTGAGGCAGCAGACAGAGCATTAGAAACATAGGATTTCTTAGTAGCACAGTGATTTGTGTAATCAATTTATGGCTCTTGGGAAACACTTCTTTTTCTCTCTTAAAATTAATATAATAGAGGGGCTGGCACTGTGGCACAAGCTAACGCTTGTGACACTTGCATCCCATATGGGCACCAGTTCATGTCCCAGCTGCCCCACTTCCGATCCACCTCCCTGATAATGGCCTGGAAACGCAGTGGAAGATGGCCCAAGTACTTGGGCCCCTGCTCCAACGTGGAAGACCAAATGAAGTTCCTGGCCCAGCATTGGCTGTTGTGGCCATCTGGGAAGTGAACCAGCTGTTGGAAAAATCTCTCCCTGTCTCTTAGTAACTCTTTCTAAATAAATAAATAAATCTTTTTTTTTAAAAAAAAAACTAACACAATAGAAAAAAGAACTGCATTATAGGTAGTAAAGGTAAAGTTGTTTCATGAGACTTTGGTTCAGTGTTCTATACAATGCTAATACTTAGCAGTAATTACAATGAGACAAGCACTGTACTAGGACGGTAAGTATGTCAACTCATTTAAGTCTCATGAAGTTGATGAGGTTTTACTTTCATCACTGTCTTACAGATAAAGGAACTGAGTCAATGACACAAGCTAGTAAGTGGCAATACTATAATCTGAATATAGGGTTTCTGGCTTCAGTGCTGTTATACTTTACCAAAATCCTGAGACATAATCCACATACCATGGTATTAACCCTTTTTTCACCAAACATTGAGATTTAATTCACGTACCATCAAAGTCACCTGCATAATATGCACAATGTCTTTCAGCATATTCGCAAGGTTGTACAACTATTACCACCACCTGATTCCAGAACATGTTCATCAGCCCAAACAAAACCACGTACCCACCCCCATGCCCAGCCCTCGGCAAACACTAATACACCTTCTGTCTCGATGGACTTCCCTATTCTGAACATTCCAGAGACATGCAATATGGCTTTTTGTGTCTGCCTTCTTCCACTTGAGATATGTTCAAGGTTCATACACACTGTAATATATTTTAGGAGTTCATTTCTATTTTACTTCTTTTTTTTTTTCATTTTTTTTTAGAGAAGTTTTAGATTCACAGAAAAATCGAGCACAAGTTAGAGAGACTTCCCAAGTACTTTCCTCTCCCGCAGACTCACAGGCTCCTCCATTACCAACATCTCTCACCAGAGCGCTAAGTTTGCTAAAATCACTGGACCTGTATTGATACCCCGTCATCACCCATCACTCCTGATGCTGGACATTCCGTAGGCTTTGACAAGCATGTAAAGACATGGATCCACCACTCCAGTAACACACAGAATAGTTTCACTCCCCAGAAGTCCTCGGTGCTCTGCCCATTCATCCCTCCTTCCCCTGCTAACCCCTGACATCCTCTGATCACCGTCTCTAGTTTGGCCTTTCCTAGGATGGCATACAGTGGGAATCACACAGTAGGAAAGTACTTTTTCAAAAACAGAATTAAAAGATAAGTTTTCACACAAAAATTCTGAAATCCATGCAGCTTTGTCATAATATACATTTTCCACAAACTTTTTGAGGACTGTCAGATGTAGCCTTTTCAGACCGGCTTCTTCCACTTAGTGAAGTGCATTTAAAGTTCCAACATATCTTTTAATGGCTTGAGAGCTCACTTCTTTTTATCACTGAATAATATTCCATTCTGTGGATATACAATGGTTTATTTATCTATTCACCTACTCAAGGACATCTTGGCTCCTTCCTTGTTTTGACAGCTATGAGTAGAGCTACTAAAATTATCTACATGCAGGCTTTAATGCAGACCTAGGTTCTTAATTCATCTGGGTTATGCCAAGGAGTTTGATGCTGGATTGCACAGTGGGAAAATGTTCAACTTTGTAAGAAATTGCCAAACTTCCAAAAGTGACTGTTTCAATCACTTTGTGATCCCACCAACAGCAAATGAGAGTTTCTGTTCCTTATATCTTTGCCAGCATTTGGTGTGGACAGTGTTTGGGATTTTTTACCATTCTACTAGGTGTTCAGTACAATCTCTTTTTTTTTTTAACTTTTGTTTAATGAATATAGATTTCTAAAGTACAGCTTATGGACTACATTGGCTCCCCTCCCCCCCGATGACTTCCCTCCCACCCGCAACCCTCCCCTTTCCCGCTCTCTCTCCCCTTCCATTCATATCAAGATTCATTTTAAATTTTCTATATATATAGAAGATCAGTGTAGTATACATTAAGTAAAGATTTCAACAGTTTGCACCCACATAGAAACACAAAGTGAAAGATACTGTTTGAGTACTCGTTATAGCATTAAATCTCAATGTACAGCACATTAAGGGCAGAGATCCTACATGAGGACTAAGGGCACAGTGACTCCTGTTGTTGACTTTACAAACTGACACTCCTGTTTATGGCATCAGTAATCTCCCTATGCTCCAGTCATGAGTTTCCAAGGCTATGGAAGCCTTTTGAGTTCTCCGACTCTTATCTTATTTAGATAAGGTCATAGTCAAAGTGGAAGTTCTCTCCTCCCTTCAGAGAAAGGTACCTCATTTTTTGAAGACCTGTTCTTTCCACTGGGATCTCACTCACAGAGATCTTTCATTTAGGGTTGGTTTTTATTTTTTTTTTTTGCCAGAGTGTCTTGGCTTTCCATGCCTAAAATACTCTCATGGGTTTTTCAGCCGGATCCAAATGCCTTTAGGGCTGATTCTGAGGCCAGAGTGCTGTTTAGGACATCTGCCATTCTATGAGTCTGCTGTGTATCTCGCTTCCCATGTTGGATCGCTCTCCCCTTTATTTATTCTATGGGTTAGTATTAGCAGGCACTAGACTTGTTTATGTGATCCCTTTGACTCTTAGTCCTTTCATTGTGATCAACTGTGAACTGAAATTGATCACTTGTACTAGTGAGATGGCACTGGTACATGCCACTTTGATGGGATTGAATTGGAATCCCCTGGTATGTTTCTAACTCTACCATTTGGGGCAAGTCAGATTGAGCATGTCCCAAATTCAGTACAATCTCTTATTCCCTAATGATAGAATATTGAGCACCTTTTCATATGCTTATTTGCTTCATACATTATGTTCTTTGAAGAAATATCTATTCCAGTCCTTCACCCATTTGTAAATTCGGCTGCTTTTT